TTGTCTCTATATCTTTTCTTGCCCTTGTTGTACACTGATATATATGAGTATACCTTCATGCTTACACTTGCTAGATTGTGATCAGTGTACTGCTCTTGCTATTATAAACTCTGCTTGTGAACTGGCCTTGTGGCCACTCGCTTGTGCTCGGAATGCGTGGTGATCTTGAGATCCACCCTGAGCTTTGCTTTGCCTTGCTTCTTCTCTTGACTGGTCTTATGACCCCTTGTTGTCCCCCACTTCGCCTATGGGGGTGTGTCAAGCATGTTTATATCATGTTAGTTCTGTTAGGCTGTAGTGGGTCACTCCCTATGGGGTACAACCCTTGTTAGGGTTAGTACTTGTACCACATTGCTACCTTAGTCAATCATTTCTTTCTTGACAAACAGGTTTTGATTCTGTACTCCCGACGGCGTCGCGGACAAACTGCCAAAACTGCTTGCACTGCTTGGCGACGTCTTTGAGAGTGGAGGACAGAGTGCATCGTAGGACGGGTCAGCAGATAGTCAAGCACGGGGTTGGGAAAGCATATCAGAATCCAATGAAGGAACATCGAACACAAGCAACGGGTAAAAAACAAAAAACAATCCTAAACTTACGCTCCGAGGTTTTCTGTGCGACTCTGGTCTTCATGCGCACACTGAAATTCCACCTTTTGCGAAATCGGTCCGACCACCGTTGGCTTCCCTTCCACTTCACGTCCGGGAAGAGGACCTTCATAAACTGCCACGACCATTCCTGCAGAAGACCGACATACAACCGATACTCCCTTGCGCCGCCATTCAAGAAGCCTCGCATACACCTTGAGCTCCATCAGCCAATACCACGAAGCTCGTCCACGCCCGTGCATGCGTTTCCGTGTGCCGTGAGCGTCTTTGAGGACCTGCGAGGCTCTCTTCCACTCCGTAAAACATGTACGGTGGATGCCGGACCCACGAGACAAAGCGCGCACCGAAACCGCCACCTCCAGGTGCGCGAGCTACTTCAATGTTTCCTGGGCAGTATAAGCCTGTCGCTTATGCTGTGACGGCTTGTGCCTGGGAGAGAGGGGGCGGGCATCACGGTTGTCAGATGAAGGGTGGGGACGCCTTCGGTTACGAGGCGGATACGTCGGAATTGAAAGCTTCTCGGGGAGGCCGTTGCGCGACCAATACTTGACGCCGTCGTCGTCCTCGCCGCCCACACCACCTTCAGGAAAGACGTCGCCTTCGGTGCCAGCCTTGGCCTCGGTGCCAGCCTCGTCGTCCATGTCGTCCCCGCCGCGATGCTCGTCGTCGGCGGCCACATCGTCGTCAGCGCCCACGAACTTGGCGCATCCCATGCCCATGACCTTGGCCTTGGCGCCCGTCGCGGATGTGACTGTAGAGATGGGTGCGGGCTGAATCTCATCGAGTAGGTCCGCGCGAGGAGTCATGTGCCAAGAGCTCCCGGAATCTATCACCCAATGGGTGAGGGGATGTAGGAGAACCTTAGCAGCCATAGCAAGGTCGGTTGCGCCTTCGTTCACGAAGAAGAAGAACCCGGCCTTCCGCTCCCTGTCGCTTATGCTGTGACGGCTTGTGCCTGGGAGAGAGGGGGCGGGCATCACGGTTGTCAGATGAAGGGTGGGGACGCCTTCGGTTACGAGGCGGATACGTCGGAATTGAAAGCTTCTCGGGGAGGCCGTTGCGCGACCAATACTTGACGCCGTCGTCGTCCTCGCCGCCCACACCACCTTCAGGAAAGACGTCGCCTTCGGTGCCAGCCTTGGCCTCGGTGCCAGCCTCGTCGTCCATGTCGTCCCCGCCGCGATGCTCGTCGTCGGCGGCCACATCGTCGTCAGCGCCCACGGCGGATTCGTCCCACGTGCATTCTTCTGGCGTGCCCCAACGTGGTGCCAGCGCTGGTGCTTCAATCAACTCATCTCCGGTTCCGAGAGAAAATCATCGAACGATGATGGCAGCAGGAGCGTGAGGACGGGCCGATTGCCCAAGTTTTCTGGAGCTGGCGGAATCGGAGGAGCAGGAGGAGCCGGAGGCGCTGGAGGAACAGGAGGAGCTGGGGGGGCAGGTGGCGCAGGAGGCTGTGGTGGCTGTGGTGGCTCTGGTGGGACACGGCTGTATCAGCCGTCAGCGCTAACTCAAAACGCGGGCCTGGGTTGTTTCTTGAACAAAAAATGGGTCCCAGTGAATTCTGCCATGGCTGAAGCAGCCAGGAGTGAGAGGTTGGGAAACTGAATCGAAAAGTGCAACAATGAGAGATGAAATGACCAACGGAGGGGACCCCTTCGCCTTGGCGGCTCGAGGTCCTCGTCAATGACTGACGGGAAACCCCCGCCTTAGCCCGCAGAGGACCCTGCGTGTCGTGCAAATCGCTCCTCTGGCAGGGAAGATTCCACCCCCTTCTAGAGGGTTCAGGCGGAATGTGTCTGCCTGGCAGCGCATGACGCTGTGATTGGGCCGCACGGCAAGATTCGCGTCAGCGCTGGCAGGTGAGTAGCATCTGGTTTCAAATTTGCAGTTGAAAACCGAGTCACGGCTGTTTTCGCCTGAAGTGCATGCACGAAACCACGTGAACGTTCATTCGGCTGTGAACCGAAATGCAAAATAGTGAACCCCGACCCAGCTTGAAAAGGTGTTGAGACGAGAGAAAGGGATCGGGCCAACAAAACACTGTAGAACACATCAGAAGCGTTCAGATCGAACAAATGTGATTGGGTAGCGCCAAAAGGAACATTTTCTGGGCTCCCGCCAAAAGGAACATTCACCCATCGCATCTCTACGTGCTGGACCCTCACGACCATTGCAGGCGACGGTTTTGGTCGCTAGGCCCAACTATGGTTTCAAGCTGGAGCTGGGTTCACGACTCTGTTTAGTTCTCCAGTAGCCACTACTTCTATGCCTAGTTGAAATCTCAGTCGTTTTTTGTCCCAGGCCCAACGCGATTTTTTACGTAGTTCGAGTGTGTTATCTATCGACTTAGCTTGGGTACGCAATGTAATACTTACACCACTAGCGTAAGGTTAGTATTTCCGTGGCGCGCAAACGTCAATATCCAGTCACCCTCGACTACTCTCGCTCCTCCCTCACCTCGTCACCCTCACGTTCTCTCTCCCCGCGCAATCTTCGTCCCCCTCCCTTCCTGTCGTTCCTTCGTTTTTACCCTCCACTTCCGTCGCCCCCATTGTCCCCGCTCCCTTCTCGTCGCCTTCGCAGTCGACCAATCAGCCCTCCATCGCCCTTCCACTCTCCTGTCGCCCTTCCTCTCTCTCGTCGCCCTTCTTCTCTCCCGTCGCCCTCCCTCTCTCCCGTCGCCTTCCCTCTCTCCCGTCGCCCTCCCTCTCTCCCGTCGCCCTCCCTCTCTCCCGTCGCCCTTCTCTACCGTCGCCCATCCTCTTCGCCCTTCTCTCCCGTCGCCCATCTCTCCCGTCGCCCTTCTCTCCCGTCGCCCTTCCCATCTCCCGTCGCCCTTCCCATCTCCCGTCGCCCTTCCCATCTCCTTCGCCCTCTCCCCTCCCTTCCCGTCTCCCTCCCTCTCTCCGTGCCCTTCCCATCTCCTTCGCTCTCTCCCATCCCTTCCCGTTGCCCTCCCTCTCTCCGCGCCCTTCCCATCTCCGTCGCTCTCTCCCCTCCCTTCCCGTCGCCCTCCCTCTCTCCTCGCCCTTCCCATCTCCTTTGCTCTCTCCCCTCCCTTCCCGTCGCCCTCCCTCTCTCCTCGCCCTTCCCATCTCCTTCGCTCTCTCCCCTCCCTTCCCGTCGCCATCGCTCTCTCCTCCCCCTCCCAATCTCCCCTCCCATCGCCCAACACGTCGCCGTCGCGCTCGATCTGGAACGCCCTCCCCGCGCCCTTCGTACCCTCGAATCACCCACCTCGTCGTCCTCGCGCTCGGCCCGAAATGCTCGCCCGTCGCATTTCGTATTTCCCTTCCCATCACCCACCTCATCGCCCTCGCGCTCTCCGCGAAATGCCCTCCCGTCACCCTTCTTCTCTCCCCTCCCATCACCCATCTCGTCACCCTCGCGCACTACCATTCCGCGATATTGCTCACACATTTCTCTGCACGCGTCCTCGTTTCCGTCGCCCTATCTCTCTCGTATCTCGTCACATTGAAACTCTCTGTTGTTTTCCTCTTGTTTTTCCTACGTTGTGATTGCAGACCTTGCAGGCCCATGTAAATGGCAATTACTCTGCTTGAGTTGCACATGCAAGCACAAGTCGAAATTGGCACGGAATGTGCATGGGATTTGCACGTCGCAAACTTGCGACACGTTTGCCCATGCTTGCGACGATTGTTGTTTGATAAAAAACTGTTAAAATATTTCGGAAAAACACTTCAACTTTCCATAATGAGTTTGAGACTTCAAGTGGACCCAACTAGAAGGGGGGGGTCACTATTTTAACTGCGGGCCTTAAAGAGAGCTTCAATTTGGTGTAATTAAAAACACATTTTATTTTTCACTTTTTAAGGCGCCTGCGCTTATACCCGAAACTCATTCAGAAGCCCCCCCCCCCCTAAAAAAACCAATTTTATTATAAGCGCACCTGCGCTACTTTCCGGGGTGATACGGTACATTCTAACATTCATTGAAGCATCCACATTACACTCCATACCGTGTTCATTCGTATAAATGCATTCGTTCATGTTGATGCCATGTTCGATCGTACCATTCGCCGTATTAATCGACGATGCTGGGATGGTCCGAACAAATGCATGGTTTCAACATGACATAATGAATGGGTTCCACTTTTAGGATCTCATTCATGAGTGATATTTATCCACTATTTGAGGCATTCTTTTGAACACTGTGCCAAAAATCTGTTCAAGGGGTGCTCCAGAGAGTGCTTAAAAAACACTTTTGAAACGATATTCCCGATTATATAGGGTTGCTACGCAACCCAAAAAATCCACTTCGTTGTCTGTCAGAAACCAGATATTAGTACGTCCGTTATAGAAAGTAAGCACATTTGCAAGAAGCACGATTGTTACACGCCCTTTTATATTCCACTATCGGGCTGTACAGTTTCTTGGCATTCCCTTGTTCGCATCGCAACTTCCCCAAACCCTTCTCCCCCGACCCAACAATCATCTCCCTCCCACCCTGCCACACTTCCCATCTTGCCATCGCCCCTCTCTCCTACCTCGCCGTCGCCTCTCCCTCTCGTCCCTCCGTCGCCTCTCCCTCTCGTCCCGCCGTCGCCTCCCTCTTAGCCCGCCATCGCCTTCTCCTCCCATCCCTCCGTCGCCTCCCCCTGCTACCCCACCGTCGCTCCCCTTCTCATCCCGCCGTCGCCTCCCCCTGCCGTCCCGTCGTCACCGCTGACGACAGCTGCACGAGCGCGAGCTGGCGGGCGAGTGCGGGTTGGTCTCTGAGGCACCGTGATACTCAGGTGCGTTTCCCCTTTCTCGTTCATTTTCTCCTCTCCCCTCTCTCCGAAATTCCCTCACTTCCTTACATTTTTCGTAGGTCCTGTGTGCCGATTGGTTTCCTCTTGCGTTGCTCTACCATTGTAAGAAGGGGAGAGAGGGAGCGCGAGGGAGAGCGAGTACGGGGGGGAGCACGCAGGAGAGTGCGCGTGAGAGCGAAGAAAGAGCTCGAGGGAGCGAGGGAGGAAGCACCAAGAGCGTGTGGGAGGGAGCGTTGGAGGGAGAGGCTGGAGAGAGTGCGCCGTGGGCTCTTGCGCCTAAGCCGCTTGCGCTTAGGGCGCTGGCACCGTGGGTGCTTGCGCTTAGGGCGTGAATGTGTGTGAGTGGCTGCAAGAGTGAGTGCAAGAGTGTGCGAGAGGTTGCGTGCGGTGGGGGTGTGAGTGTGGGTGCGAGTGCGGGTGTCAGCGCGAGAGGGTGCGCGGGTGTCAGTGTGAGAGGGTGAGTGCGGTGCGGGTGTGAATGCATTTGAAGGTGAGTGCAGTTGTGAGCGCAAGGGCGAGCGCGAGGGTGAATGAGAGAGCAAGTGCGAGTGCGAGTGTGAGAGTGCGAAAGCAAGTGTGAGAGTGAGTGCGAGTGTGAGTGCGAGGATGCAAATGTGAGTGCAAAAGCATGTGAGAGTGAGTGCGAGTGTGAGTGTGAGTGCACTCTGTGCGCACTCACACAGTCGCATGCACCCTCGGACTCACTCTCTCACTCACCCTTGAACTTGCCCTCTCAGTTACCCTCGCACTCACCCTCGCACTCAAGCTCATACCCACCCTTGCAGTCACTCTCGCAATCACCCTCGCACTCAAGCTCATACCCACCCTTGCAGTCACTCTCGCAATCACCCTCGCACTCACCCTTGCATTCACACCCGTACTCACACTCACTCACACTGGCTCTCGCACTCAACCTTGCTCTCACCCTCGCACTCCCACCCAACCGCACTCCCACTCGCATTCACACTCACTCTCAGACTTGCACTCACCCTTGCATTCACACTCGCAGTCACCGCATTAGTAACCACCTAAATGTCCGCACCATCAACTCTTCCAACCATATTTTTCCAACTAAGTTACGCGCTCTTCCAGTCATGCCGTGGAGAAAACCTCCGCTGGTTCGTGCACCATCAGCAGCGCCCGTTTTGCCCTCCACAACCCCCCAACCCCTCCTGACTCCTCACTCGCTGAAGAAACAGGTCTGTGAGTACACGGAGCAAGCGAGGATGGTCGATACCAAGGTATCGGCTGATGCCGGACCTCAAGGCGACAAAGGCGGTGGGAAGGGAAGCGGCGAGAAGGCGTTGAGTGAGAAAGCGCAGGCACGGAAGCGGGCAAAGCTGGAGAGGCTAAAGAAGAAGTTGGTGCAAAAGAAGGCAGCCAAGCGCGGACATGGCAGCGAAGAAGCAGGCGAAGCGGCAGGGGGGCGAGCGGCATTAGAGAATGGGCGTGGGGGCGAGGAGAGGGAAGGGAAGCGGAGGCGCATGGTGAAGCACCCCATGCGAGTGGCGGGGCAACGGCCAGGCGAGCAGTGCTTCTCGTGCGGCGCCGCAAATCACGCCGCCAAGGATTGCCCGAAACGAAAGGAGCGCAAAGTGTCCAAGGTCAGTACCCGTCGCTGCGTCTCTCTCCACCTTGCCCTCAGCCTTCCGTACCGTACTCCACGACGTTCGCCGCCCTACGTCCTCCCCTCCATCACCCCCTACGACGACGTGACTCGCTCCGTCCCTCCTCTCGCGCTATTTCCCATCCGTCCGTTCGGCGGTCTCCCCCCAGGCGTGTCTCTTCTGCCGGCAGTGGGGCCACGTCGTCAGCGAGTGCCCGCGAGCTGCCTCGGCGTCCGCACCCGCTGTGCCGCAGCCGCCAGGCGCCTCTGGCGAGCAGGGCACGGGGGTCGCGGCATTGGAGGGAGAAGGGCGTGAGCAAGACGACAAGAGTGCGGTCGGCACAGAGGGGTTGGGAGTGGGCATCTGCTACAACTGCGGCTCCACGCGTCATCGCCTGCACAACTGCCCTTTGCCGCGAGCCAACGGTACGTGCTGAACGTTTATGATACTTGGTGCTTGGGTTCGCTGCCCATGCTGCTCGTCGCTGGCAGACCATTGGGCAGTGGCGGTGGAGGGTGGATGCCCTTGCTGCATTCGGTGAATGCCCTCCCTGTGATCATGCGCCACTCGTGTGCTTCAGCAACCCCCAGCACCCTTGTGTCCCCCACTCATGGCTGACTTGCCCATGGGTTGTGCTGTGATGCTGTGATGCTGGGTTGTGGTTGACGTTGCAGGCGGAGCAGCACATGCGGTGTGCTTTGTGTGCCAGCAGAAGGGCCATCTCAGTCGTGACTGTCCCCAGAACCCCAACGGCCTCTATCCCAAGGTGGTCTTCATTCACATAATTTCTTCTCCAGGTCCTGCAACGGCTGTTTGTTCTTCTCAATGCTTCTTTTGCAGTTCACTGTGTTAGACACAATTTGGTTCTTTTCTTTGTTGCTGGCGATGTAACAATCGAGTTGGGTGTATGGCATTTGTGTGTTGTGCGTGTGCGCATGTCTTTCGCACATCCTTCAGGGCGGCTGTTGTCGCATATGTGGACTCAAGACCCATCTTGCTCGTGACTGTCCTTCAAAGCACGCTGCTGCTACGTCTGCTGCTGCTGCTCCTCCTCCTGCCAGCGCTGCAAAGGTGGAAGGGAGCCAAGGCACCAGGAAGCTGTTGAACAGTATGTTGACAACGCAGTTGGTTGTGCTGTGCTTGTATCCCCATACCGCACCCCGTGTCTCTTCCTTGTACAGCGTTCTGCTCGCGTTTGAACTTCCTCTATTACCATTTCCATCCTCCACATTGAGCCCGTCTTCTCCCCCCCCCGCCCCCTCCCTGCCATGCTCCCCCTCTCCTTCTTTCCACTCCTGCGCCTTTCTTCCCTTTTCCTGGACAAAGGGGTTTCTGGTTCTTTTTCCTTGCCAAGTGTTTCCTTCCATTGCCGGCGTGTTGGTAATGCGAGACCGACTGCATGGTGTTGCAACCATGCTGGATGTCATGTCACATTGCAACCAGGGCGCCGCATTATGGTTCGTGTCTTCACTTGTACACCGTTCAATGCTCTGTGCTTCTGCTTCTGCGGTGTGATTTGAGTGCTTGCATTGCAGGGCACCATATTTTCCCTGGAGGAGACGACTTGGGGGACGACTTTGGGGACGCCATTTTGCAGCCACTGCAGGCGAAGCGGGGGGATCAGCAAGATGGGGAAGGTGATGCTTTAGAGGATTTTGAAGAAGCTCAAGGTAGCGATGATGAGTTGCTGATGGGGAGCGAAAACGCCGGTAGGCCAGGTTCGTTGGCTGGTCGGCGTTTCAGTGGCAGGCGGGGAGGGAGAGGCCGAGGCGGAGCTTTTCATGCTGGTGGCAACAGGCGGCAGGGAAAGGGATGGTGAACATGGACTGTGCAAAATGTTTAGGAAGGATGTGTGGCCTCTTTTAGTAGGTTATGAGAATGTCTAGTTTAGAATGTGGCAGTTACTGTCAAAGTACTAACAGCGGAATGAAATGACTAGCAAGGGTTGAGATACAAATGCAACCCTAAAAGGATTGTACCCTGTAGAGTGTACCTCACAGTAACTAGCATGCGAATATACATTTGGCAATATGACCTACCGTATGGTGATGTATGCAGCCTCAAGCACTCGATGGCATGCTCGAATTTCGAATAACAGAACCTGTTTCTTCCAGGTCGATAAGAGCTTTGTGGGGTACAACATGAATGACCGAGGTATGGTGCACTTCAAATGCAGGCTAAAAACTCAATCCTGAATTGAAACAGTACAATTAGTGTGTTCAGAGGACACGCCTGTCCAGGTTCAGAGGACAAGCCTGTCCAGGTAAATGTCTAGAGCGTCAATTATCTTCACCAGAAACTTCTTTCGGTCCATGCGATACCTGCATGTGGGCACATTGGAGGAGGAACCACTAGCCACAATGAGTGGGACAAGGAAGGAAAGTATATAATGCTGCAGATGGTTCATGTTATGTACAGTTTCACGAATGCAACAGTGCCGAGCATCAGAGCACTTGGGAGCATTGAATATGAGTGTACATACTTGATAGCAGCCCACCACCGGGCTGATTTGTCCTCTGCTCCCTCCGACTCTGCTCAAAACAGTCCACAAGGCAGGAGAGAAGAGGCAAGCGGGAGAGAACGGGTGGGAGAGCAGTGAGCTGATAGCAGGCCACCACCGCCACCTTGCAGACTTGTCCTCTGTACCTCTGACTCTGCTCGAAGTGAGCCATGAGAAGGGGAGAGCGACGGAGGACAGAAGGATGCTGGGAGGGGCAGGCTAACGCGAGAAATGCACTGTCACTGCACCTAGGAGCGCTGAAACAACGGATCTGCTTATGTAACACCGAATGGAACTACTGGCACCATCCGTCTCCCCACTTCGTAGTCATTCCTGACCCGTATTTTTTAGACGTCTCAAGAATCACCTCCCTTTTGAGGCGGCTCAAAAGCCACCTCGTAATCATTCACAGCCTTTTCGTGACCCGTAACCTCCCTGTGACTGCTTAACCTGCCATGCAGCAGCCCCCTTTTGTGACTCTCGTGCGTAACTACTCGGGCTATTCTATCAGAAAACAAGCCTTTAACCTGACTCACCCTCAAAGCTTTTAACCTAGCTCATCCTCAAAGCTTTCCTTTCTTCGCGAGGTTTGTGGGAGCGCTCCCAGCTGCTCCCAGCATTGTCAGTTGCTGCCAACCCTTGTGCTCCACTGTCAGGCTGCACTATAAGACAAAGGCTTCGGAGGCAACTCACCCAGCAACACAACACTGTCTCATCCTCCTGCAGCGTTGTGGGGAACGCACCCAGCAGCACCTCCTGGCGCTGCTGCTCCTGCTGCCAGGCTACCCTACTCAAGAAAGAGCTGGTGACTTGTGAAGCCACTCACCCAGCACTGCTTCATCCTGCTGCAGGGTGGTTTCGAACGCCCCCAGCTGCTCCCGGCACCGCTGCTGCAGCCAGCGCACGGCTCGCAGCTCCTCAGAGGGGACAGCTGGCACGTCGCCATTGGTCCACGTGGGCAGGCAGCGCAGCACCGCCACGAGCGCCCCGTCCACAAAGGGGTCCGGGGAAGAGTCACCGGCTGGTGTGGGGGGCGAGGAGGGATGAGAGAAGCGGAGTGAGTGAGGAGTATGGTGGGGGAGATGATTGGGGGGGTGTAAGAGCGGGAGCAGGTAACACAGTGCCGCCACGAGCGCCCTGTGCACAAAGGGGTCCGGGGGAGAGTCGCCGGCTGGTGGGTGGGTGCGGTGGGGGGGAGGGAGAAGGAAAGTCTCAAGAAAGGGAGGGAGCAGGCAGCACAGCAATGCCACGAGCGCCCCGTCCACAAAGGGGTTTGGAGGGGAGTCACCGGCTGGTGGGTGGAGGGGGGAAAGGGAGCAGAGGGGAAGGGGGGATGAGGGGGGAGGAGATGGGAGGCATGGAGGGAAGGAAGAGAGGGAGCAGAGAGACAAGTGCCGCCACCAGCGCCCCGCCCACACAGGGGCTGCGCGGAGAGTCGCCAGGTGGTGGTGGGGGTGAGTGAGCAGGTGGTGGTGGGGGTGAGTGAGCAGGTGGTGGTGGGGGTGAGTGAGCAGGTGGTGGTGGGGGTGAGTGAGCAGGTGGTGGTGGGGGTGAGTGAGCAGGTGGTGGTGGGGGAGAGGGAGGAAGCAGAGGGAGGGAAAAGAATGGGAGAGGGTGGAGCATGGCAGAGGGTAATTTCTCCGCACTCATCTTGTCTGTTGTCACTTGGAACAAAAACCACCAACGGAATTTTAGTCATGTGAGTGGCATCATGGTAGCTTATGTTCTACACACTTACAATTTCTGTCCCTTGCGGTTGGAGTCACATTATAGGCACTTACTGTCATAGTCACATACGGCTACAGTCTTAGGTACAGTCAGTTATGGTTATAGTCACTCACGGTTGTAGTCGTAATCATCATCGGTGGCGATGAGGTCAAAGGCCGAGAGGAAGCTGTCCCGGTGAATGTGGTGTGGCGGAGGGATGAAGGGGGCGGTGGCGGGAGAGGAGGCGGCGAGAGATGGTGCTGCCGCAGGTGTAGCATCGGCGAGAGTTACTTGCTCCCAAGGGTTCTGAAATGGGAAAAGTTGACGGGATGATGGCACGAGTGAAGAGGAGAAGTTGGGTGAAAGCAGGGACAGCAGAAAGTGTATCTGAGTGAGGTGGTCGCCTGCTGCGAAGGGTTTTGAAGGCGGGAAGATTGATTGCACGGTGGCATGAGAGAAGAGGGGGTGGGCGAAAGGAGAGACAGGAGAGGGTGCATCTGGGGGTTTCACCTGAAAGAATCACCTGCTCCCAGGGATTCTCAGGGCTGGTCAAAGCAAAGGGGGTGGCATGACGGCTTGAGAGAATGATGCATTCACATAACAGTAAAACTGAGTGCTAAGGAATTGTTGCAGAGATGAGAAGCGTGATGGTAGAAGCCGGCAAAACATGAGGTGACAGGCCAAGCATGCAGTGACAGGCCAAGCATGCAGTGACAGGCCAAGCATGCAGTGACAGGCCAAGCATGCAGTGACAGGCCAAGCATGCAGTGACAGGCCAAGCATGCAGTGACAGGCCAAGCATGCAGTGACAGGCCAAGCATGCAGTGACAGGCCAAGCATGCAGTGACAGATGGAAGCAGAAGGCATGGGTATGGGAGCAAAAGGCATGGGTATGGAAGCATGCGGCATGGGTATGGAAGCATGCGGCATGGGTATGGAAGCATGCGGCATGGGTATGGAAGCATGAGGCATGGGTATGGAAGCATTCGGCATGGGTATGGGAGCATGCGGCATGGGTATGGGAGTATGCGGCATGGGTATGGGAGCATTCGGCATGGGTATGGGAGCATTCGGCATGAGTATGGGAGCATTCGGCATGGGTATGGAAGCATTCGGTATGGGTATGGGAGCTTGCGGCATGGGTACGGGAGCATGCGGCATGGGTACGGGAGCATTCGGCATGGGTATGGGAGCATTCGGCATGGGTACGGGAGCATTCGGCATGGGTATGGGAGCATTCGGCATGGGTACGGGAGCATTCGGCATGGGTACGGGAGCATTCGGCATGGGTATGGGAGCATTCGGCATGGGTATGGGAGCATGCGGCATGGGTATGGGAGCATGCGGCATGGGTATGGGACGAGACGCACCTGAGTAAGGGAGAAGCCAAAGGAGCGCATGAGAGCGCGGTTGTCCGCCTTGGGCACGTACGATATGGTCAGCTGCACGCACACAGGCACGCACACAGGCACGCAGGGCGGGCGGGCGGGCGGGCAGACGGGCAGGTGAAGTGGGCGGGCAGGGGGCAGGTGGGGCCGAGTGGGAAGGCACAGGATGAGCGACAGGGATTGGGACGGGGACAGAGACGACGAGGGACGGATTTGAGGCATAGAAACGCGGATTGCCACACAAACCCACCTCAGTGCTGACGCGCACTATCCGCGGCGTCCACTATCCGCGGCGTCCACACGCCCTTCCACACCACTTCACCCAACGCACCTCCCTGCCACTCATTCACTGCCCCACACACCCACCTCCGTGCCGGCGCGCACCATCTGCCCCGCGTCCACGCGCACTTCCATTACCCACCACACCTCCTTTGGCTCCCTACAGTGCCATGCCATCACACTCTCCACAGCCCCACGGCCCCATGGCTCCACGGCCTCACCTCAGTGCCAGCACGCACTACGTGCCCGGCATCCACCCGCACTTCCATCACGCGGTCAGTCTTGCGCCAGTGCAGCGAGCACAGCGGGCTGAACGAATGGTTCAACATGTCTGCGCGGCAGTGCACACAGAGAGAGAGAGGGGGGGGCAAGACAGTGGTTTGAGTATGGCGACACACAGTAGCACGAGTATTGCAAGTCGTCTTGCGCCAGTGCAGCCAGCACAGCGGGCTGAACGAATGGTTCAACATGACTGTGGCATGTGTGTGGCATGTGTGTGGCATGTGTGTGGCATGTGTGTGGCATGTGTGTGGCTGAACGTATGATTCGAGCATGCCATTCAGCATGTCCGTGGCAGCACACACAGAGAGGGGCAAAGGAGTGGTTTGAGCACGGTAGGGCAGCAGCGAGCAGATAGCGGCAGGGCAGCAGCAGGATGAGAGTAAGAGCATGAGGGAGGAAAGGGAGGACGGTGGAACCCAGAGGAACAGGAGAGCCTAGCCTACCAGCATGAGGAAGAAGCATGTGCGAGTTGGTCTTCACAGTGCCCATGGGTGTGTGTGTGTGTGTGTCACCCCCCCTCTGCTCTGCACCTTTGAGTCAACTCAACACATTTATCCTACCAGCATAGGGCAGCAGCAGGTGCATGTGGGTCTTGACCATGCCCATGGGTGTGTGCCTCACGCAGCCTCTGCTCTGCACATCTCAACTCACCCACCACAGTAA